ATTACAATATCAGATTTTAAATATTGTAAGCAGTCGGTATCGCGGCGTTGATTGGCTGGCTGTTGCCGGAAATAGATGTTTTTTATTCTACCCCCCCCCCTGAAAATCCAAACGGTAAAGGAGGCTAGGTGGCCAAGCAGGCGCCGTAGTAATTATCGGGCTTTCTAAGTTCCATAGAATTTTAGTCTCGAAACATTTCGCTAAAAATCCATTGCAAAAATTATAGGACGTGTTAATATTGCTTTGTATGTTCGAAGATGGGTGTTTATTCTATACGCTGGCGAAGTTTTACCGCGAAGAAAGCAATTTGAAGGGGATATTTTTCGATTTGAATTATTCGTGTCGGCTGTTTGAGAACTGGAATCGTTAGCCTTTGCTTTCAATACTATCACCTATGAAGACAGTCGCAGGCATCGAATGTAAAGTCGCTCAGAAATAAAAGACGATCACATACAATCAAAGTAGGCAAGTAAATATGATTTTAAAATATAAAATTCATTACAAATTTTACTGTGTAGTATATTCTATTATGATATATTTACTATACACTAATACACGTCTGGGCCGCCTGTGGATCGATCACATTTATTGTCGCGCCACTGTCAATTGTTGTTTGAAATTTGGCACCGCCTACTTTAACATTGACCTTGTTATTGTGCTTTGTATTTGTCATGGTATATAAATAGTCTTCATCGGAACTCGAGTTTGATCCTGTATCTAATGTTTTTAAATTTCTTTGTGCATGCTTTTTGTTTGAGTATCTCGGTGATCGCACAGGGGGTCCAACTAACAGCTGTGTTATGAATAAAACATATTAATTAAACGTAATATGAATAAAACATCATAACGTAATATTGCACTTACTTGTATAAATCATAAGAGCTTGCATTTTAATACTGTGAATAGCAACAGGTGGGAAATTTGTCTGAGCATGCGCGAGTAAAATGAGCCACGTAATTGCGTGGAATACACGCAACGCGTGTTTACAAAAAGGCACAATCGTGTAAATATTGCCAAATGTTTGTACAAAATAAATGACTGTTTTATGTTGAAAGAGTGAACATGATCTAAATTAATCATACAGAATTTTTTAGTGACGTTCTATTTCAGTACCCTGCCATTGTCTCTGGTGGGCTGTTCGTGTGCATTCGATCTGAAACAGTTGCTACTTTGCTGTCGAAGAATTTCGAATGTTTACATGAAAATAGAGGCATGTCATGCATTTTACAACCTCTCAAACTGTATGAGCCCCTATTTTTACGCTTATACCTAAGATATCAAATAAAAGTACATGAAACAGAGAACATTTGTAGAAAGTTTTATTGTGAGGCCACGGCCAGTTTTTAAAATATCTTTATTTCTGTTCCGGTCATCACTAAAATTACACAAAAGCGGGGCTTGAATATACAACAAATTTTGAATCTCATCAAGCACAAAAATACTTAACGTGTAACCAAATTATGCTCATGAAATCGAAATTAATAGCTAAATTTTCAAACTAGACCCTTCTCGAAGCGGTTTTCATGAAGGAAGTTCACATTTCGGCCTTTGATTCTTGGCAAAAGTTTGACCACAACACGTACGAAGCAACTGGGTCTCAAAGACTGAACTAAAACATTGTGAGCCCCTATTTTCCTAACGATATGTTTGATACCTACAAACGCCGAAAAGTTTTTTCTTTTCATTTAGCTATATTTGAAATTGAGGCCACGGGTTATTTTTGAGAAATAAAGTTCAAAGTCAAGCTATTTTTTACATATTTTCAAAATTTGTCAAATTTCGCGAGCTTGTATTTTGAACTTAGACAGCTGAAGTTACAGTAAGAAACATATAGGATGGAAAATTTGAGGCATATAAAGTTAATTTCAACTTACATTTCATTCTCAAATCACGTCTTTCTTCGTTTATTATGGTTTTAAGCAAGCCATAGATCGACGTATACTGTATTTACTCCCATGTTCACGTCGCCATATTAACTTCTTCCAATCACGCGATTACAAAACAATCATCCCAAAACAAAGAATTCATGATCGACTTTTAAAAGAATAACCAATAATTTGTAAATCGTTGAATGGAAAGCAAAATATCGTCAGCTAAAACAGCTTCTTGCTAACTTTCTGCTTTGTTTTGAATGCAAATGCAATGGGCTTTGTTACTGCCCGCAATTTTTTGGTCAGCGACGACAAATTTCCCACCTGTTGTGAATAGCTTCAAAAACTTGCCTCTGCTTCGTTCAAAAGACTTCAAATATGGCGAATAAATTGACAAAACGATAATATTACATGACGTTCCAACGAAAATAACAGAAAGGATTGCGAGCGGAAGGCGAGGGTAATAGATATTAATAGAAGGGATGAAACACCGGTAATGCGATCGTGTGATGTGTTCCATAAGTAGCCTGTTCTCTCGGAAAATTCCAAAACGCCTCCTGCCAACTCCAACAACGCCTAAGCGCTTAATTAATGAAAATAAACAATGTTTAGCTATACCGGCTAATATGAAATGTTTAAATGTAGCGACCAACGTTTTTTTTTACATTATTTAGTTTTATTATTATTTCGTCATACGTCACGAGAACAGGCTACTTATGGAACACATCTCGCGATAATGGCCAAGAATGCTCGCTGTTATAAATCACATAAATTAGATTGATCAGTGCTTTTTTGGTAATGACTAGGCTTGTTCATGTAAGAGAACATCGACTGAGCCTTAAAAACCCCACAAAAAGCTTAAACGGATAGTCTAGAAGCATTTTAAAAAGTCACGTGATATTTGTTTCATCCCTTTTATTTATTTCTTTCCTCGCCTTTCCGCTCGCGCCCGCAATCCTTTCTGTTATTTTCGTTGGAACGTCATGTAATATTATTGTTTTGTCAATTTATTCGCCATATTTGAAGTCTTTGGAACGAAGCAAGTTTTTGAAGCTATTCACTGTATTAAAATGCAAGCTCTTATGATTTATACAAGTAAGTGCAATATTACGTTATGATGTTTTATTCATATTACGTTTAATTAATATGTTTTATTCATAACACAGCTGTTAGTTGGACCCCCTGTGGTGATCGCGTTTGTTTTTGTTTTCCTCGACAAACAGCAGCAAAATGATTCGGTTTTCCACAATTATTACAGGTTTTCCCTTTCGCTGGACATGCTCCTGTGTGTGGATAAGCACGCCCACATTTTTTTTGCAAATAACATTACTACTGTTCGAAATATTACCGTTATTAGGTTTTTGTTCTAATTTATTAGCCTCACCGTCAGTTTGTTCTTTAGATTCGATTTGTTCAGCTTGATACTTGCTCTGCTCGTCACGACGTCCTTCTAAAAGCATTGATTTTAAGTCAAATGTAGGATCACGCAGTGCTCGCTTTCGTATTTTCGATGAATTTCCGCCTATAATGATTTGTTCTTCGATTTCAAATTCAACGTCTGCGAATTCACAGGTTTCTGACATTGTTCTAAGTCTGGTGTGAAATTGATCTAATGTCTCATTGTGTTCTTGAGTTGTTTGTCGAAAACGATAAACTTCGTACCGCCGATTCTTTTGAGGGTCGAAGTAAGCCTTTAATTTCTGTTTCGCGATGTTGTAGTCCGTATCAGTTCCTGTCTCGGGGATTTGTTTAAAAATCTCGCGAACTCTCGGTCCGGCTTGATATAGCAAGAGTGCACGTTTTCGCTTTGGATCCGTTATTCCACTTGCGGTTATATACATTTCGAAGTCTGACTGCCAATTGTTCCATCTTGTCGAAAGGCTTGTTCCGATTTTTGCATCTGGGCAAAATTCTGGCATTGGAGTTATTGTTACAGATTGCATGATCTGTACAGCCGGTTGCTGCAGTGGTTGAGGCTCTGCCTGCTCTTCCACCATTGTTTCGTTTAATAGAATACGTTTATCTTCGTCGCCATTATAATGTTCTCTTATTTAATAGACTTCTTGATATCTCGGCTACATGTAAACAACTCAATATATAATGTCCATATTCTAAATATAAACTAATCGTAATACGTGCGTTAATGATTAATAGACGTACATTACTATAGTGTGCAAGCATTTACCATTGATTCAAAGGAGAAAGAGTTTATCGCTATGTTGGGATATTTTACAGTTAACCGTATACCCAAGTTATGGAAGTACTGATGATGGCGTGTTATTTACTACTTAGTATTTCTGATGACGCATGCGTTGAAAGATTACTCGAGTGCGGCGAAATGTAAAATTTCCCTGTAATTTCAATTAAATAAAGGAAATATACTTACGTTCCAATTCATTCCACACGAGGAGATGGCGTATTGCAAAAACAGCATGTAATTATTATAGGCCTTTTCACATTCAATGAGACCAAGAGACGAGCAAGAGTCGTGCGGTAAAACAGTACAGTGGGAATTGATTTAGTCATTTTACCCGCATTTCTCAATTTAAATTTGCTTTGAACTGTTCAAGCGGAAAATAGTATAATTTGTGTCACCATTTCATGATTCGGTGCAAATTTTTCATTGTTTTAGACTGTTTAACTGTCTGCATTTTTAATGGCCGTAAACGTGTTCTTGTTAACATGACCAGTGTATTTACGCGAAACATTTTGATGTCTTCAATTTTCTATGTTGTTTTCAATTTTCTATGTTGCCTAATGCCTATAGCCCATAAATTCTTGTACAGTTGTCAATTTATAACTATAAGCATAAACTATTTTTGAATTTATAACTAAACTTTACAACTTGGTGTATATAGAAATTTAGGTTGATGAATTGCTGAATATTTATCCCTCATGCATTCATTATGTTTCGCGTGATTAGGTGGTATGTTATATATCGTCGGAGGACGAAACAACTCGTTAAGTGGCAATGTTGACTGTGATTCCGTCGACCGTTATGATCCTCTGTTGGATGAATGGAAGTCTGTACGTTCCTTAACCGTACCGCGCAATCGAGTGGGTATTGGTGTCATCGATGGTTTTGTATATGCTATTGGTGGTAGTCATGGTAACTTATATTTAAATCTTGTTGAAAAGTATGATGCTGACGAAGATTGTTGGGTCGAAGTTGCTCCTTTGACTGTTCCTAGAATAGGTAATGTATACAGGCTACATTTACACGATACCCTGTCAACATAAAGGGCTGATTACATGTAGACATTTTCAGCCTGCATGGCCAGTTTGAACTATACCCGAGATGAAAATTTCATCTTCGTTGACCGGCCTGAAAATCGTCATGTAATTGACAAGATATTTCATCTTTTGTTCCATCTCTAATGAAACCACAGGTCAAATATTCGGCGACATCAGCATTAGAACATTTTTCATTCAAAACTAAATTTTAACAAATATCGACTATAGTTATAAATTAAATTTTTTAGAACCACTTAGTATTTTAACAAAATACAAAACAAGTGTACTGTAACTCCAAAGATCGATCTTTGGAGTTACACTTGTTTTGAATTTTTGTAAATTAAAAAGTTGTGTAAAAACCAGTTGAACTTTATTGTACTTATACGTACAGTAATAAGAATTTTGTAAGTCCAGTCATTCCGACTAGCAGGTTTTATAGAGATGAACTGAGATTCTAGCCTCCAAAATGAAATATATGTATTTGCTTCGTAACGGAAAATGCATGGTGAGCCTGGAGGTTCTGGTTACAAACAAAAATTATTTAAATGTCCAAAAATGTGTAATAATTTTGTTTTGCGCACTCTGAATTCGACATTTTATTTTAGGAGTTGGAGTTGCGGTGATCGATAGGAAACTGTACGCAGTTGGTGGGTATGATGGAGTACGTCGTCTGGATAGGTGAGGATTATTAATTTAAGAATATTATGAGAGGAACCATTCAATTCAAGTGTTTACCGCTGTGTTCGCTATGCAAGTAACACATTTCCATCTCGAGACATTTAACGACATTTCGAATAATTAGCTTGCATTTCAGTGCAGAAGAGCTGTTGCTAATGTATGGCGTCTGCCTCCACACCATATGATAAGGTGAATGTTAAGATACTTTTAATATCAGATTATGATGAATTTAAATTTGATCATTTGTCGCGAGACTATAGACTGTAAAAAGGGGGGGGGGGATGTTGAACAGGGCTTCAAAATGATAAGGTCGGCGTTAAGATGCTAATTTTGAATTTTATATGGCGTTTTAATAACAGATATACTCATAACACTATACGTCCTTCATATATAAGTAACACTGTCCCACTTGCGGATAAACACAATATTAAGGTCGGTTTGCTAGAAATTATCAAATGAAGCGTGAAGCTATAATTAGCATAAACACGAGGTTCATGTTAAAATCGATTAGCATAATAATATCATACGGTTTATATATATATATATATATATATATATATATATATATATATATATATATATATATTATATATATATATATATATTATATATATATATATATATATATATATAGTATATATATATATAGTATATATATATATAGTATATATATATATATATATATATATATATATATATATATATATATATATATATATATATATATATATATATATATATATTACGACAAAGAGATGGCTACGTATCGAAGAATTTATTAAAGATGACTAAAGTAAAGTATAAAAATAAATTTTCGGCCACTTGACACGGCCTTCCTCAGAATAAAAACTAAGTTACAGCACATGGCATTTATACTATTTAGCATGCTAAGTAATTAACCTAATCCTATTGTTGTACAAAATCATGCGTAGAGTTAAGTCCTCTTTGATTAGTCAATAGCATACCAATCCAAAAATTTTCACATTCCCTTAGGTTGCCTATAACACACTCATTGCTTTCAGCACTAACCTAAGTTGGGGGGGGGTGGGGAGGGGGGATGCTTGGAAATTGCTTAACTATGCATATTAAATGTTAGATTAACTAAACTAAATATTTCATGTCGTTGATCCTGAAATTTTATTCCAGTTTTGTTTATTGTCGGTTTAGCAGCTATTAAATGACATATTTCATGTCTTTGATTATGAAATACGGAAAATTACGATAAAATATCGTATTTTGTAGCATAGCGACTGTGTCAAGAGTACTGTACTTGTGTATAATTTTTCATTGTTTGTTTATGGTTTTCATTGAGTCGTATCAAAATACATATTTCTTTTTAGAATCAGTGCAAGAGAGGATATAATAGTAAAAACAACAAATTTCCTGCCAAAATTTTACGAATTTTGTCGGGTTAATCAACACAAATATTGAGAAATAGCACTAAACTGCATGCAGACTTGTCTTTCGCACGACAGTAATTTTTACGACATGATATTGCTAATATTTGCATATTCATATAATTATTTTGTAAATTATATACAAATAAATGCATGGCATAATTTTTCATCATGTAGTCCACTTGACTGTCTTGACATATTTATAACATTCTGTCCTTATTTATACAAACATTCTGTCCGCCATAGTTTTAAGTAAGTTATAAATGGAAGGGAACAGTACCGCGGATAAATAATAGTTCAGTAATTTTAGCTCATTTTAAGGCCAAGGTTGGAAAAAATAGTAAAAAGCTAAAAATTGTTAGATGCAATAATTTAACTATCCTGAACAATATACTAAAAGTCCCCATGTATCCTCTTGGAGCTTTTTCCATTATGACAAGGTTTTTTTCGATTTCCTTATCACTCCCATATTGTTAAAAACGTGAAATTTCAAGTTCACTCATACCAAAAATCATCACTAGAAAGCTCATAAAAACTACATATAAGACATTTAAGTCTGACAACACGTTTCCAACAGCTCATAACTCAAGAAGAACTTGCAAAATCAAGGTAGCCGTTTAAATGTCTTATATGTAGTTTTTTGTAAGTTTTCTAATAATGTAACTTATTTTTCCTATAACTGAATCTGAAATTTCGCTTTTTAACAATATAGGAGTTCACTAGGGAAATCGAACAAAAAACTTGTCATAATGGAGAAAGCTCCAAGAGGATACATGAGAACTTTTAGTATGTTATCAAGGTTGCTGAAGAGAGTGCATACGCTAATGTTTGGCTTTTTACTAATTTTTTCTGACCTATTTTCTATTTTGATTGTACTATAACGCGGGTTGCGGTCATAGTCAGTAGCGGGAGTAATTAATAGCCCAACTGCTTAGTGATGGATGAAATGACGCTTCACTTTCACCAACAAGCAGTTCGATATGTTCTTACTTTGAAATCATTTTAAACTTACAGTTCCTAGTAAGTAATCTCTTCTATTTCTAGCTGTCCCTCCCTCTCCGACTTCGAAATATCTCCTTAGAGACATTAACTTGTTGTTTTACACAGTATATTCGTGTTTCTACCATTTAGTGTGGAATGCTATGATGCAACATTAGATAAATGGACTTTGGTCGCGTCTATGAAGTCAGCTAGAAGTGGTGCTGCCGTTACTGCGGCTAGTAAATACATTTACGCATTGGGTGGGTATAACGGCACAACACAGTTAAGTAGTGTGGAGAGATATGATCCAGTACTGGACGAATGGACACTAGTATCAAACATGTTAGACCACCGCAGTGCCCTGAGTGTGGCATCATACGATAACAAACTGTATGTATTTGGAGGATATGATGGAGAGAAATTTCATGATACAGTGGAGGTTTATGATTGTGAACAGGATCGGTGGGAGGTAGCGGCTGCCATGAGCACGGGCCGTAGTGGTGCTGCTGTAGTGGTAGGAGTACGACCAGCATTCTGAGAAATTGACCAGAGTTGCATCCGGCAAAGATTCCCCGTCGCGAGCTCGAGACTACGGAGCTTTAGATTTGACCACGAGTACGACTACGAGTACGAGATTTGATCGCGTGCTAGGAAATTACCGTAGTCGTTTTCGTTTCCATTCAAATGTTGTTTTTATAACAGTAAACCAACAACGAGAGAAAAAGTTTCATAAACTAAATCTCCTGCTGACTAAAATCCCCTACAAAACGTGAAAATAAGTCATAACATTAAAAACAGGCCAGATATTTAGTATTAATATATTATTTGCGCCGGATAAACGCTATATAAATGCTAGAAATTATTTTTGGAAAACAAAAAAAAGGTCAACTTTCTTTGTTTTTTTGAAAAGTCGTCGTGAGGACTACGAGATTTATCCGCAAGTTCGTTCTCAGATGGGCGACGGCTACGATTTTTTCGCGTCAGTACGGGATGGCGTAAGCATACAGCATACGTTTTCGCTTGACGAATCTCGTACTCGTAGTCGTACTCGTAGTCAAATCTAAAGCTCCCTACTAAGAAGAAGCTGACGGGATAGTCAACCAGAAGAAAATTCGTTTGGGCCCATTTGGAGGAGGGTAAAATATAATTGTGTGGGATAGTTTTTGAAGGGCTGTCATAGTAGTTTAAACAGAATAAATAGTCTGGTAATCTGGATAATAGAGTCCTGTTCCCTTTTTACTGGTTTTTAACTGGTGAATTTATTTGCGCAATAAAGATTCCTATTATTGTAATCGGAATGGTAATAATGTAGATATCTGAAAAAGAATTGACTAGTTATTTCATTACCTCCAGTTACAAATGCATAATCAGCTCAAAAACACTATACAAACTTAAAAAGCGTATATGAGGTTCTATATTTTCCATAATTGTGAATATCGGATTTATTTATTATGCAAAGAATTACCGTTTCAGACGAAAATATGAAAAGTTTTATAACCAGAAACAAAAGAAAACTAAATTGCTTTTCGTAATTTCAGGTCACGTTCGATAACCTAACCGATAAATTCATAAAGGTAATTTTTTGTTTGAAAAGATCCCCATACTAAGCCGGATAATATTTAGCCTGCTATGGGTAAAGCGCCTGCATGGAAGCCATACAACTTTGGATACCTATGTCCCAAATCATGTAATTCTAGGTCAGTATTCAAGTCTCCTATTTATAGAATATAACGCATCAGTTTCTACGCTTGTTGACGTGCGAAGGAAGCTTATTCAAATCTTTGCATGCAATATATTTCTATATCGCAAATGACTCCTCACAACATAATCCCCAAATTTGGAAATACTCAACATGGATCATTCGTTCAAACACATTTTTAGTCATATCAGGTTATTCCACAAATGTATAACATGTGATAGTATGGATAAATTCTCCGTTTGTGCGTGCGTGTCGATTATCTGGTAAGCCATTTCACTCTGGAATATTGTCTGTGTGGTCTTTATGGTTCTTTCCGGTATTTCCTGATTGGTTGATTTCAAGATACGATTTTAGGGGGGCGGATATACAAAATTGTATGGCGTCAATGCAGGCTGTCCTTCCCTAGACTAGCAGGGCCTGCTGCAGGCTATCCTTTGTTGAATGTTGAGCAATGCTTTTGAAATTCATCAATTTCGAGGTTGTTTATTTGAAAGTATATCAGCTGAGCCGTAATCCGGCACTTTTTGTTATTTTCGTTCAATTTATTCGTCCCTAGATGTATTTGTATTTATTAAAACCATTATTTAACCCCCAAGGTAATCCTGTCAGTGTCTCAAGGAACTGGGAGCCCTGATATCATATTACAAAAAAAATAGGTGATTACGTGAATGAAATAAATATTATTGTATAAATACTAACTTCCCGACGAAGAGTCTTCGCTCGAAACATGGACGTTCTCTTTGAATTTTTTTTAGATTTTTAGGCAGTTGTATATCGCTATCAATCCGAAGCTTTATTATGCACCTATCAATGTTTTTCTGAGGGCGACCCAGGGGACTTTTGACATTTTTAAAATTTTGTAGTCAAAATCCCCACTGTTGGGCAAGAAACGGCTGTCAAAATTCCCCACTCTAGGCCTATTCCTATCCGTATGAACAACTTTATTCCGTTAAAAAAAGGTGATGGCATTATATGTGTGCCAATGCGCTGTCTCGTTAATTTTTGACATATGATCGTGAACTATGTATGCTATATAATGTAAACCCTGTATGGCTGTAACGTCATATTCTGAACAGATCAATATATTCAAGAATTAATGCCTCCTGCCAGTGCAAAGACAAGTAATTAATTTTGTTTACACATGTAAACTTGGCATAAAGGCATTACTAATTAAATATATTGAATGCCAGAGTTCCATAGTTGGCAGGTATTCAGCAATTACTAAATATTTGTTTAGTTGATGATGTCGCAAATATCTTGAAAATGAGATAAACTAGTCTGGGTTTACGACAGTGCTTATTTAGTACATAAATGCTAGTTATATACAGCTAATTCTGAAAATGTTGTCATTTGAAAAACTCTAAACCTTAATTAAACTCTAAGCATGCAAAGCGTAATGGGAGCAGCATCATTTAATCAGTGTAGAAAGCATATATCACAAATAGCTGCAATATTCAACTACTAATCTTGAAACTTGTGCTCCCATTAAGCTTTACTCGCTTAGAGTTTAAGGTTTTTCAAGGGACAACCTTTTTTGAATTTGCTGTATATTATAGCAGGCTAGTTTTCTCATATGCGCAGATGAATTGCAAAATCACAGATAAGATATTACTTCATGTACACCTATAAGCAGATTACATCAGATTGCAAACTTTTATAGATGAAAAATTGCAAGCATGAATATATAATAGCAGCAATAATGCGCACATGAATTGTAAAATGTTTACCAACAGGAAAATTAACACTGTCATTGAAAAATAGAATATTAACAAAATGTTCAAGCTAATTTAAACAAGTATAGCACCTCCACTGAATTGGATCACCATCCACTTCAACACACTCCTTGTGAAACCACCCTTGGCATCTGTCACAACCTATCCAATCTACTATGGCGGATGCACAACCAGGAGGCTCGGGCTGCAAGCATTCTAGGCAGATATCATCGGTAGCCTAATTAAGACAAAAAAAGAATAATATTATATATCTGTTATTACTACATGCATAGAGAAATATGAACGTCTAAACAAATTTGATCTTCATTTAAAACCTAAGAAATTACCTTTGTTTCACTACTACATGCAAGTTGTCCTTGGTTTGATGTAGTTTGTCTTTTTTCCTTATTTCTTTTTCTTGTTTCTGCTGCTTTTTTTGCACCAGCAGCTCTGTGGTCTTTAACCTCCTGAAGGTGATCAAGCCATATCCTTACCTAAAAGTGTTAGGAGTCA